TGTAAATCACACCTGGGTGTGATTTACACAGTAGGCCTAGCCAATGTGTAAATCTCACCAGGGTGTGATATACACTGTGTGCTCGGTAGTGGGTAAATCACACCTGGGTGTCAAACCACGCAGCACCTGGGTGAGATTTACACAGTAGGCACGGTAACATGTAAATCACACCGGGGTGTGAGATACACGCCATGCTATTCTAGTGGGTAAATCACACCTGGATGTGATTTACACAGTAGGCCCGGCAATACGTAAATCACACCGGGGTGTGAGATACATGTCATGCTATTCTAGTGGGTAAATTACACTCGGTTTCTAAGACACGCAACACATGGCTGAGATTTTCAGCCTGTGAAATTCACAATGTGTAGGGAGAGCAGCCAGCAATTCAGCTCCGGGCAAGACTTGGCGCCGCTCCGGCTAGCTCCGGCACAGCAGACTGGCCGGAGATATGCAGCCGGCAGCCGAGCGACGGAGGCAAGGGATGGGAGGGGGACACACGAGCTCGAGGCGAGTCCGTCATCTGGCGCCAGGCGGAGCTCGCATGGTAAGAGTTGTAGTATACGGCTGGTATAGTCAGAGGCGTAGTAAGTTATTTTCAGTTGCGGGGGCAAGATTTAGTCCGCTAAGACGCCTGTGGTGAGAAGGGCGCCAAATCCAGATGGAAAGTCGCCTATACTGAACGCAGAGACTATTGTCTCCGCCTGAAAGACCCCTTCATTATAGAAAGGAGCTTATACTGAACGCAGGGACGGTGTCTTGCATTGGATTGCGCCGATCTATGCCATTTTTGTATGCCAAAACGTCTTTCTTCACCGTGAAGTTACGGGTGGCAATGCCCCCGCGGCTCTGGAGTTGCGGGGCGCGTGCCCCTACTGCCCGCGTGGCTCCTACGCCCCTGGGTATAGTGCGGATGTTGGTACACGCGAGGAACGTTAGGAGAGAATCGCTATTGCGCTTACGTTCAGGAGAGGTTGGTGTCGAGCGATGATGAATAGTTGTTATTAGAGAGAATGGAGAATGGTGAGGGTTGATGTGGACGAGCATCGTGAACATGGTAGGTATACCTATACATACCTAAAGCCCCAATAGAATGCGACCGGGACCAAAACATTTCGTGGGTTGCGAGGAGTGCCGGATTGATCGACGGCGAACGCCGAACGACACAGACTGGGCCGCTAAGTTTAATTCACCCGGGGTGGCAGGCGTTATAGGTATATAGGTGTATAAGTTATGGGGAGCAGAAAGTCTCCTAGATACACCCTCACCCAGTAGAATACCGAATGATGTATGTAAGCATCTAGGTAGGTAGGTAACAACTTTTAAGAATCTGCAGACTTGTGTGCTAGATGTCAGAAGGGTATAACGTCCCCGTTAACCCGCGCCCTGCTGGGGGGGGGGTGTTTGAACACCCCCCCTTGTGGTTTTTCGCGAATATCTCAAAAACGGCGGCGCGGAGCGCCGCCGTTTTTGGTACACCTTATCACACATCAATTCTACACATGTTGTGAAAATTTCAGACCAAGGTCATTCAAGGTCAGGTCACCAGGTCACTTGAAGTGACCTCATCTCATAAAAAGTTTCAATGTCTGTCATAGCTACACCGAGTGACCGATTGCTTTGAAACTTTCAGCGATTGATAAGGGTAACAGTATCTATAAAATGTATATCTCGAAATTTTGATATCGGTGACCTAAGGTCAGGTCAATTTTGCGACCTCCCCATTCAATGGGAGTCGCAATTGGGTCAATGGGAGAAAATTGAAATGCGCCTCTTTTGGACGAAACACATTATAAACACTCCCAAACACTGAATTACAAGTAGTTTAGACACACTGAACATGAAAATGGTGTCCGTGACCCTTGTTTATGCCCTGAGGTCATCTTAGGTCACGAATGGTATCTAACAGTTTTTCGCAAATAACTTTTGATAGAGGCGTGCTAGAGCGATGAAAACGCCTTAGATGTGTTCAGCTCGACGATACGGATCGACTGATATGCAACATGACCCTTTCCGGTCAGGTCATGACCTTGACCTGAGGTCAAATTTTCAAGTTGACCTTTCAAGGTCAAGTTATAGTTCATTCGATGCGTCTTGACGAGAGGAACACGATGCCGGTAAAAGTAAGCTCGTACAAGGCTTGGGTCAAAAGTTATTGCCGCAAAACTGTTTCCGAAAAAATCGGCTATTTTTGCAGTTTTTGCCCCCTGCAGGCAAAACCGTTGACGTTAGGTCAAATCTGAGAGAATTACTCAGAAAGGGCGTTAATAGGGCTATCGAATGCGCTTTTCCGCGGCGCTGTAGCTCTATTGGTTCCCGAGTTATGCGTTGGCTTCTTGGAAATTTTCGATATCCTCTTGAGTCCCGCCAATTAGCCTATGAACGGAGAGCAACGAAACTTGTTTGGCTGAGAGCTTTGGTGCCAATAATGACCATATTTGTGACATTTCAGCCATGAAGGTCATTGCGCATGCGCAATGACATGTATACTGAGATATACAAAAATACCCAAAGCCTATAAAATATGACTGAAGTGCAGCCCATGAAAACTTCCATACAAACACCAAAGTGTATTTTTTCGTTTGTTTAGGGCGTAAAATGGCTAATAGTATTGACACGTTTAATTATCAACACCGCTCGCCCTTAACTTCCGCTTCTTCTGCCCCTTGCCCACTGCTCTTAGGTCTTAAGTTGCCATTTCCTTTGAAGATATGGAACTTGTAGCACCTGTTGCGAATCGATAAGCAGTAGAGGAAGACCTTGCAGCATTATCTGAAGCGACATCTCTAAAAAAATCGCCGTACGGTGTGTTTAAGAGAGGTGCTTGCCTATGTCATTGTGCTTAGGGGTCGGATTCTAACTCATCGGGTGATTTATCAAACTTTGAGTGAGGATCTACGGTCATTGAGGTCACCAACGATTCGAAGAATGTCAACGCTCAACTACAGAGCCACTTGAAGGCATAATGTTGTGTGTGAGCCACAAAAAATGGCTTTAACTAACCCAGCGACCATGTATACTACAGTATACATGACCAGTCCTAGGCACAGTCTGTTGTATACTGACGTTTACATTTCTCCGTCGTGCAGGATCCCGTTGGTCACTCGGGTGTACATTTATTTTTTCAGAGGCCAATTCCTCCCAATAATTGTAGTGCTACTTCTTAAGCACGTCTCAAAATTTTTCGGACCAAGGACATTAGTATACCTTAGTATACATGAACTTTAATTCTTTCTGGAAAAGTTTTAAACACACAATTTTGTTTACAAAACCTGCAGCAATGATCAACAACGAATGGTTATGTTAGCAAAACAACAGTTTTCAATGAGTCATACTCTTAAAAAGAAATAACAGGAAAATAATTAGGAGATGTACCTCTATGCTGCGACCGCCGAGATACCGGGAAGATTGAAGCGCTGAGGCGTCAACAAATTCAACTTGAGGATATAAATTCAGCCACCAGGTGGCGGACCATGGCATGAAGAATGCAACGCATGGCCATGAAATAGCCTAGCCATTAGTGAATTCCGTAGAGATCGACTTGAGACGATGTATACCCCAGTATACAAAAAGAACCAAGAGGATATTCGACCTGGAAATCGGCGAAATTTTGCCTTCAATGACCTCTGGTGACCTGACCTTTGACCTGACCAAAAAATTGACCGAAGTGATTTCGTCATTATTTTTGGCGCTCTTTCGAACGCCGCCTTCCGCGTATCGCTACGTGGCCCAGGAGCCGAGTTACAAGGGGGGGTGTTCAAACACCCCCCCAGCAGGGCGTGGAAATCCAGGACCCCCAGCCGGGCGCGGGTTAACGGTACCAATGTGACAACGTCCTTATATAGGTAAGTACTGACTAGTGGTACCGTATCAACCGCTTGCTGAACAACACGCCTGCTTCGGGTCTGGCTCATGGACCTGCAGCATTGCTCCAGCATGTTGGCATCTGCGCATATTATAGTGGCATCGCAATAATTTTCGGATGCGAGCAAGGGTGCGAGAGCACTGGCGGGTTCAGGGTCACAAAAGCACCTAAATCTCCTGATTTTTTTATATTACGTCTGTACCCAATGGCAATACTTACATAGGTGAGTCCCTCGTGCGTGTACCCCCCCCCCCCCTCCCCATGTGCGCCTGCCGTACCATGCCCGAGTCATTGGCCGCTAGATCGGGCCCGGAGCATGAGACGAATTTCAATCATCTCTGGTGAGGGCGACTCGTTCCTTACATGACCGAAGTGTTTTTGTTTTCGGGATTTCAATGCCCGTCAAGTACTGCAACTCAAACTCAAAGTCAAGAGCAGCGCCTAAAATCGCCCGAGTCGTTTACCGATGAGCTACGGTTAAAGCAAGGCGGCGGCGCGGGTTAAAACAATGCTCGTGAAGATGGCTGGTCCGGCTGCTCATAAAATGTTGCCTATTCAAGTGAAAAACAGTTCAAGTGGAAGTTTTTTTTAGGGGTTAACTTCACTGGCCTTTCCGACCGATCGGTAATTCCAAGGCGGCTAAAGATGGGTAATACATAACGACACCCCTGTTCTCGAGGTGCGGTCTGAACTAACGTGAATGGGATACCCACAATAACCGTCGACAACTTAGCAACGCCCTGTGCGACTGTTAACGCGCGCGCGCGGCATTTTCGACTACGTTAGAAAATATATGGGTTTTGCGCCAGTTGCAAGTATCCACCAGTTATCTTCAGCTACATACAGACGTCACCGGTATGCATGGCGCCTTTGCACGCGACATCCGCATTGTCGCCTCATAAGTTGTCCCATCAAACTGTAGGTAATAAACTGATGGCTGCGCGCAGTCATTTTTTCGTAGCACGCCCCCCCCCCCCCATGTCATCGTGCTGTCGATTCATTGTCTGTCGTACTCCTGGCCGACCTCGCCTCGGGTTGTGGGCAACACAGGTGGAACTGGACCGTCCGTGGCCGCTGAATAGTTGGGACGCCGCCACGTTCACTTTAAAAAATCCCAAATATAAAAACAAACCAGTGATAAAAGAACGTATTTCTTGACTTGGCACAGAATCATCACAGGTATTTTACATCTCCACAACGCGCACATATATACACAGTAATATCAAGACAGCGAGATCATGTGAGTATACTGACGCACGCCATTCTTGGCGCATAGGTCGATATTTAGATCGTCGTAGGCGAGATGTTTTGACTAGATTACACATCAGCTCAGCATATAATACAGAAAACCTGGCTACCCGGGTATCGAGAACACAACAGAAGCAGATAATACTGGCCTGATCACAGCACAGGGGTTACATCGAAATAGTGAACAAGAACACAGAGCCAACGAAATAACTACCGCGGAGAGCACATCATGGAAACTACAACGACGGAGCGTCTTATAGGATGATAACTAATATGCACTAAAAGATTATCTCAGATAGTTTACAGCTTGCAGACTACTACCAAATATTGCACAGCTGCACATTGTCGGGTTCCTGAAACTGAAGTTGTGAGGTGTCCGTCTTCCTAGGCTTCACCTAGTGTCTTAATTTATACACATATGTACATCGTACACTGTCCAGGACGCCGCGGTTGCCAGGCTCGTTGCTCTTGGACAGTGTACTTGACTAGCGGCGGAAGACGCTCCACCAGGCCTGGAAACAAACAGCACAGAAAGTATGCGTTAGGCATGATGTTGACACTCAACGGCATCTTGAGCTGCGGGAGTGAGGACACACCATAGCGCACAAGCACATTTCCCCATTTTGGAGCACACATACAATCTTCGTGATTACCTTTGTCTCTTGTAACCCAGCGTAATTTCTTAGTATTTTATGAAACCATTGCACATGCAATCGATTGAACGGAGTTGCATCATCTACGTTTGTAATTCGCAAACGAAGTAGAGCCATACCAATTTTTTGACAGTTTATAGGTCGTTATTTTAACCTCCCCGTTGCGCGAAGAATGTTATTTATTTTAAGATAAAACTACAGTTTACTATAATTTCATATTCATCGAAATTTATAACTGGTGTGGATGATATTACATAATTATGTGAACCAAATGAAAATTATTTCCGTACAGTCAGTACAAAACAACATAATTTGCTTACGGAACTCAGTTGTCCTCCGTGCAGTTTTTTCTTTTTCTTCTTTGTACTGTTATAAGGGGCTTCTTCGCCTGGCGCCCACCACGGTCTTCCGAGATCCCTTGGGACGACCGCGCGCTTTGATGCGCATCGGCATCCGCAGGCCCGACAGATCTCCAGTTGCTCCGGGATTCGAGTAACCTGGAACAGGAGGAAGAGAGCCAGCCACGGAACCACCATCGGCTGGCCAGATGTTCCTTCTGGGCCACACTGCCGCTCCCGATGTCCTGGGGGTAGGTTCCAACCAGTCATAAGCGTCCTCTTCCTCCTCATCCACTGGGCTCAATCTGCGAGCTGAGACCTGTGGAGTGGACGGCTGGGAAGGGCGGTCGGGGCTTTGGGCGTACTCATGGTCTGACAGAGGGGACATGCCAGGCATAGTCAGCTTAAAGTTTGGCATTTGCCTGGCCGGACGGCGATCACGATCAGCGAGGGGGGACAGATCGGGCATGAGCACAAAGTTGGGCATTTGCCTATCTGGACGAACCGGACGATACTGAGGCATGCCAGACGAACTGGCGACCTGGAGACTGGGACTGAGCCGACGCTCGTCTTCGGCGACGAACTGCACTGAGTGGGTGCTGGGGGTCTCCCTGGACGGGGCTGGACTGGGCACAGGCTCCACATGCACTGGTGGCAGCCGGGCTACACCGGCCACGCCAGGCACCCGCACAGCTGGCCGGCGTCCAACGATCGGCGACACGAACCGTCCGATGACCGGAGACACGAACGATTCAGCCGGAGTCGCGCCGTCTTCTTCCTGGCCATCTGGTGCAAGCACACCGGCACCACCACCCTGCGAAAAGTCCATGTCCAAATCATCATGGCCCGCATCCTCGGCTGGTTGGATCAGCTCGGCGTCCGAGACCATGCCCTCCACCTGGCTAACCACGCAGAAGGCCTGGCCCCGCCGCACACAGTCTAGCACCTGTCGGAGAGAAGCGTAGAGGTCATTATATTGTTCGCCAGTACACTCTGCCCCCGCTGACGCGATGAGCTGCGTGACATTGCGCAACTCCCGGAAACGCTCGTTTTCCGTCCGAGGGCGCTCCCGGCGAGGCAGGCTGCGCAGGTCGACATCCTGGGGTGGCGGCGCTGGCAGCACCTGGGCCTGCAGGTGGCGGGACAGGAATGACAGGCGCCACCTCTCCGGGAGCACCTCGTTCGAAAACAAAGGCGCGATCGACTGCGCACGCCGGTGTGCAATGATGTGCTGGCAGGGCAGGGTGTACTGGCGGAAGAACGCACAGTCACAGGTAAGGTCATCGCACTGACCCATGGCGTCGTGTTCGCCACGCTCGACCACCTCCAGCTGCTCTTTGATTAAATCGAAGGCTAGGGTAGTCACAGTTTTTTGAACATCGCCTAGATCACCGTGATGCAGGTGAGTTGGACGTTTTTGAGTTTCGGAGAAGATTTTTTTATTCCTCTCCGTCCTGATCGCACTCAGGACGACCTTGTAACCCTCCACAAACTTCTCGAATGAGTCGTGAGGGTTGTTGACGGCTTTCAGTTTGGCATGGAGCGACTCGAGGTGGTTGTTTGTGTACACACCCGCCATGTGTCCCCCGGCCAGGCCCCGCACCCATTCGCTGCGGATCGCATCCCAGTTGTCCCTGAGATAGCGATCCACCCTTCCCTCGATACTTTCCCGGATACGCCAGTAGTCTTCTTCCGAGCTGGCGTAGGCGAGTCCCTCCAGCGTCCGGAGAAGATCGTCCCGCTCTTCGCGAGAGTGGCCCTTCAGCAGGGGCTGGACCTCCCGACGGAACGCCTGGAGCACGTGGAACGTGCAGATGAACTGTCGCGTCCCCGGGAACTGTTCCCGGATGGCACTTCGCTCCGCCGCGTCCTTGTCTGTCAGCCAGACCTGAGGGCAAAAAAGCATTATGTAACAGAATTTGATAACCAATAAGCACCTTGGTCTCCGTCTGTGGTACCAATTTCACCAACCTGTAACGTACAAAAGGGCTTGGCTTGCCTATCTGGGAAGGCGACTAGTCACCTCAGTGGGGATAAGCAGCATTACCAGCACATATAGGAAGCCAAGGCCCTACAGAAAAATACAATAGGATTTCGAAAATCTAGCCTTGCGGACTACTAGTGCTCCCAAAGTGCCACTTGAAGAGAGATGATGTCGAAATGCACATCAAACGCTAGAGAATTGATTAAGGAACACTATAGTGAAAAATTTGAATTGTGTTACCGTTTTGCAGTAATCGCAGCAGAAAATGGAAAAAGTTCGATTTCCCCGTTGACCTAGGAGTTAGGACCAAATACCGCTAATCACGAGATCTCATCTTAGTCTTTTCCGCTAAGCAAAACAAAGATCAAACAAAACTTAACGAAAGGTCGTAGAACTTTCGTTTCGAAATGCCAGGGGCAGGGGGGTGAATCCAACCCTCTGCACGGGCGAACGTGGCAACGCACAGAGTATGGGCAACGCTGTTTCGTACTCACCTTCGTTTGAGAAGCTGCGTCGACATTTTTTTGCTTGAAGATTTCCAGCATGGAGCCGATCATGGCAGCCGTTTCCTCCGTCACGATGAACACAGCGAGCGGAACGCCCAAACCCATAGAGTCGACACCCAGGATGGTGAAGACTGGAGCTCGGTTGTCGATCATCTTGTAGGTGGCGTCCAGCAGAAGCAGATCCGGGAACTCACGGAAAGTCCTCCGCATTTCCTCGTCCTGGAAAAAGATACCACAAACCACGCCAGCAAACTCGTCCTGCACAACCGAGGTCGAAAATCCATGCCGCTCGAGCATTTCCACCTGGGCACCAACATCGTCACGCACGGCGCCAGCCTTCCTCACAACGTTGTTCAAATCATCACGAGTGACATGTTTGCCAAACTCGTTTTTTAGCATGTCACGGATGCGCCTCTTGTTTGCGCCTAGAGAGACATGTTTGCGAACGACGTCCTTAAGGTCGCTCGGGAGCCGACGGTTTTTGGACATGAGGAGGAAGGCAGCTTCGGACGTGTCGTGATCATGCTCAAGATGGACACTAGTGACGACCAGGTCTAACTCGCTGGCGTCCAGAACGACCTTAAATCCAGACCGACAAGTACCCTTTTTGGATCGAGTGGTCCGCCTGCGATCTTTTGGCACCGGACCTCGGCCGCCCACACCACACAGATAGGTCAAAGATCGGTATTTGAGCGTGGCCACGATGTCGTCTAAATCAGTTCGGCCGTTCAGCGCTTTGCTCACGCAATGGTTGGGTGTAGACCTAATAAAGGTGCTCAATAGGGACGTCTTTTCTTTGAAAAATTCAGCATACGTTGACCTTTCAATTTCTTTGACTTTCGCGTCGAGCTCGGAAAAGGATTTGAAGCGGTCACCTGATCTCAGCATCTTGCGCCTGAATTCACCGGAACCACCACCAGCTCCTCTCTTGCTTGGACCAGGTTCTGAAAAAAGAAACATCGGTGTTAGATTTTGGGACGGAAACGAAACTACATCTTGTTTGCTTTTACTCAGCGTCATTACAACGTCTGTCACCGTCATTACAGGGGTGCCAGGGGCATCACAGATCTGCGAGGGGAGCCAGAGGTATGTCCGGGGCACTACGGGTTGTCAAGGGCACCATAGGACTGCCTAAACAATCACAAGTCCGTCAGCGTCATTACTGGGGTGTCAGGGGCACCACAGGGGCATGTCCGGCCTCCGGGGCACTACGGGATATCAAGGGCACCACAGAATTACCTGGACAATCACAGGACCGTTGGCGTCATTACTGGGTTGTCAGGGGCATTACGGGGATGCCAGGGACGTAACAGGTTGTAACAGGACGTAACAGACGTAACATCATAGCAAACCAGACACGGGTCACAGAGGTCAAACTCAGGTCACAGAGGTCACAATAGGTCATTCACGGATCAGAGACATCATAGCAAGCCAGACACGGGTCACAGAGGTCAAACTCAGGTCAGAGAGGTCACAACAGGTCAGACACGGGTCACTGAGGTCAGACTCAAGTCAGAGAGGTCACATCAGGTCAGGTACGGGTCAAAGACATCATAGCAAGTCAGACACGGGTCACTGAGGTCACAACAGTTCCGACTCAGGTCAGCGAGGTCACAACAGGTCAGGCACGGGTCAGAGACATAATTGCAAGCCAGACACGGGTCACAGAGGTCAAACTCAGGTCACATAGGTCACAACAGGTCAAGCACGGATCAGAGACATCATAGCAGGTTAGACTCAGGTCATGAGGTCATATCAGGTCAGGTACGGGTCAAAGACACCATAGCAGGTAAGACACGGGTCAGGCAGGCACGGGTCACAGAGGTAACAGCAGGTCAAACTCAGGTCACAGAGGTCACAACAGGTCAGGCACGGGTCAGAGACATCATTGCAAGCCAGACACGGGTCACAGAGGTCAAACTCAGGTCACAGAGATCACATCAGGTCAGGTACGGGTTAAAGACATCATAGCAGGTCAGACACGGGTCACTGATTTCACAACAATTCAGACTCAGGTCAGCGAGGTCACAAAGGTCAGACACGGGTCACAGGTCACATCAGGTCAAACTCAGGTCATAGAGGTCACAACAGATCAGGCACGGGTCAGAGACATCATTGCAAGCCAGACCCAGGTCACAGAGGTCACAACAGGTCAGGCACGGATCAGAGGCATCATAGCAAACCAGACATGGGTCACAGAGGTCAAACTCAGGTCACAGAGGTCACATCAGGTCAGGTACGGGTCAAAGACATCATAGCAGGTCAGAATCGGGTCAATGAGGTCACAACAGTTCCGACTCAGGTCAGCGAGGTCACAACAGGTCAAACTCAGGTCACAGAGGTCACAACAGGTCAGGCACAGATCAGAGACATCATAGCATACCAGACACGGCTCACAGAGGTCAAACTCAGGTCACAGAGGTCACAATAGGTCATTCACGGATTAGAGACATCATAGCAAGCCAGACACGAGTCACAGAGGTTAAACTCAGGTCAGAGAGGTCACAACAGGTCAGACACGGGTCACTGAGGTCACCGCAGGTCAGTCTGAGAGGTCACATCAGGTCAGGTACGGGTCAAAGACATCATAGCAGGTCAGACACGGGTCACAGAGGTCACAACAGGTCAGGCACGGGTCAGAAACATTATTGCAAGCCAGACCCAGGTCACAGAGGTCACAACAGGTCAGGCACGGATCAGAGACATCATAGCAAACCAGACATGGGTCACAGAGGTCAAACTCAGGTCACAGAGGTTACATCAGGTCAGGTACGGGTCAAAGACATCATAGCAGGTCAGACGCGGGTCACTGAGGTCATATCAGGTCAGGTACGGGTCAAAGACACCATAGCAGGTAAGACACGAGTCACTGAGGTCACAACAGTTCAGACTCAGGTCAGCGAGGTCATAACAGGTCAGACACGGGTCACAGAGGTAACAGCAGGTCAAACTCAGGTCACAAGGTCACAACAGGTCAGGCACGGGTCAGAGACATCATTGCAAGCCAGACACGGGTCACAGAGGTCAAACTCAGGTCAGAGATCACATCAGGTCAGGTACGGGTTAAAGACAGCATAGCACATCAGACACGGGTCACTGATTTCACAACAATTCAGACTCAGGTCAGCGAGGTCACAAAGGTCAAACACGGGTCACAGAGGTCACATCAGGTCAAACTAAGGTCACAGAGGTCACAACAGGTCAGGCACGGGTCAGAGACATCATTGCAAGCCAGACCCAGGTCACAGAGGTCACAACAGGTCAGGCACGGATCAGAGACATCATAGCAAACCAGACATGGGTCACAAAGGTCACATCAGGTCAGGTACGGGCCAAAGACATCATAGCAGGTCAGACACGGGTCACTGAGGTCACAACAGTTCCGACTCAGGTCAGCGAGGTCACAACAGGTCAGGCACGGGTCAGAGACATAATTGCAAGCCAGACACGGGTCACAGAGGTCAAACTCAGGTCACATAGGTCACAACAGGTCAAGCACGGATCAGAGACATCATAGCAGATTAGACTCAGGTCATGAGGTCATATCAGGTCAGGTACGGGTCAAAGACACCATAGCAGGTAAGACACGGGTCACTGAGGTCACAACAGTTCAGACTCAGGTCAGCGAGGTCATAACAGGTCAGACACGGGTCACAGAGGTAACAGCAGGTCAAACTCAGGTCACAGAGATCACAACAGGTCAGGTACGGGTTAAAGACATCATAGCAGGTCAGACACGGGTCACTGATTTCACAACAATTCAGACTCAGGTCAGCGAGATCACAAAGGTCAGACACGGGTCACAGAGGTCACATCAGGTCACAGAGGTCACAACAGGTCAGGCACGGGTCAGAGACATCATTGCAAGCCAGACCCAGGTCGTCACAACAGGTTAGGCACGGATCAGAGACATCATAGCAAACCAGATATGGGTCACAGAGGTCAAACTCAGGTCACAGAGGTCACATCAGGTCAGGTACGGGTCAAAGACATCATAGCAGGTCAGAATCGGGTCACTGAGGTCACAACAGTTCCGACTCAGGTCAGCGAGGTCACAACAGGTCAAACTCAGGTCACAGAGGTCACAACAGGTCAGGCTCAGATCAGAGACATCATAGCATACCAGACACGGCTCACAGAGGTCAAACTCAGGTCATAGAGGTCACAATAGGTCAGGGACGGATCAGAGACATCATAGCAAGCCAGACACGGGTCACAGAGGTCAAACTCAGGTCAGAGAGGTCACAATGGGTCAGACACGGGTCATTGAGGTCACCGCAGGTCACTCAGGTCAGAGAGGTCACATCAGATCAGGTACGGGTCAGAGACATCATAGTAGGTCAGACACGGGTCACTACAGTTACAGCAGGTCAGACTCAGGTCAGAGAGGTCACAACAAGTCAGGCACGGGCAAGAGAGGTGACAGTAGTTCAGACTCAGGTCAGAGAGGTCACATAAGGTCAGGTATGGGTCAGGGACATCATAGCAGGCCAGACACGGATTACTGAGGTGACAGCAGGTCAGACTCAGGTCAGAGAGGTCACATGAGGTCAAGGAAGGGACACAGAGATCACAACAGGTCAGTCACGGATCAGAGACATCATAGCAGGCCAGACTCAGGTCAGAGAGGTCATATCAGGTCAGGTACGGGTCAGAGACATCATAGTAGGTCAGACACGGGCCACTGAGGTTACAGCAGGTCAGACTCAGGTCAGAGAGGTTACAACACGGGTCACAGAGGTCACAGCAGGTGAGACGAGAGGGGTCACAACAGGTCACACACGGGCCAGAGACAACATAGCTGGCCAGACACGGGTCACAGAGGTCACAGCAGGTCAGACTCAGGTGAGAGAGGTCACAACGGGTCACACACGGTTCAGACATCATAACAGGCCTGACACGGGTCACTGAGGCCACAGCAGGTCAGACTCAGGTCAGCGAGGTCACAGCAGGTCAGACTCAGGACACAACAGCTCAGGCGGATCGGAGACATCACAGCAAGCCAGACATGGGTCACATAGGTCATAGTCAGGTCAGAGAGGTCACAGCAGGTCACACAGGTTACAGAGGTCACAACAGGTCACACATGGGCCATACTTTGGCCTGTGTGATCATGTGACATTTCAGATGTGTGACAAATTGTGACATTTCTGTCACAATTTTCAACTTCTGCCCCAGGTTTTCCAGTTTCTGCCCCAACAGTCAAACAGTGAGCATGCACCTTCTGCATCAACTAGAAACACAGCATATCCACAGTTGGAACAATGATCGCCTAAGTAGGTATTTGCATACATGGAACATTGTTTCCAAAGATAGAAACATTTCTATAAATGGTACAGAATTATCCCAATGCATCTAACTAACCTGTGATGTCTCCAGTGATAAGAGCTCATTAATAATGTCACATTTTACAGATGCTAGAAAGGGTGTCATTACAGTGTGACAATCAGAGGGTTCTACAAGGTCAGGATTTCATCTGCCGAGATATATAATGAAGCTCCCTGCAGCAAGGGTGTCATGCTGGTGTGATAACTGGAGGGGACGAGGGTCAGGGTTCTGCAGGGCCTGTGCATGCTAAAAAAATAGGCAGGATTTCATCTACCAAGAAATCTCATCAAGCTTCCTGCAATGCTTTGCACACTGGTCGGGGCAGGCAAGATCACAATGGAGCTACAATAGAGCTGCTTTACAGATGCTAGAAAGGGTCATCACAGTGTGATGAGCGGAGGGTTTTGCAGGGTCAGGATTTCATCTGACAAGATACATCAAGCTTGATGAGTAGAGGGTTTTGCAGGGTCAGGATTTCATCTGCCGAGATATATCATCAAGCTCCTTTCAGCAAGGGTGTCGCTACGGTGTGATGACTGGAGGGGACGAAGGTCAGGGGTCCGTGCATGCTAAAAACATTAGGCAGGATTTCATCTGCTGCGAAATCTCATCAAGCTCCCTGCAATGCCAGTGTGCGAAACATGGCAGGGTGATCAACGAGATTTTGGGGCAGACAAAATCCTGCCCCAAATCAGAATGCTGAGAGAATGCCGAGTCCATGCCAGGCCGCACCATTTACATTTCCGTACCACAGCACGTGAAATCCGCACCGCACTGGACCTAAACCCGCACCGCACCACACCAGCGGGCCAAAATCCGCACCAGCCGGAACGGTTCCACACCAACAAGATCTCGTCGAGAATGTCATACTTTGCAGTCTGGCTGCAATGATTTGCACACTGGTCAGGGGGGAGGGGCGGGAAAGATCACAATGGAGCTACAATAAAGCTGCAGGAAAACCCCCAGACCAAGATATTGAGATCATAATCTGAGGCCATGCACTGTCAACTTTGGCAATTCCACTATGTAAAACCAAACATTTGAGTTTCACTAACCTTCGCACTGTGCAGACGGTCACCTTTCAGCTCCCAAGACGACCGACAGCGGAGCTCGGGCCGGCACGTCCACACCCGCCGCGGTCGCCGAGAGAGAGGACGCCCGGAATCCCGCCGGAATATTCGTAGTGCTTAGTCTGATCTGACCAATGGGCGAGCAGAGTCACTGCTCTGACCAATGGACGTTCAGCGTTGCTATGACGTCACATCGTGGTGAGATATACACACAGCTGCCCTCTCTGTGTATTCCTCACCCGGGTGTGATTTACACTACGTAGTAGATTTTGTGTATATCACACCGGGGTGGGTGTGATTTACACAAATGGCCGGTATTGTGTAAATCTCACCGTGGTGAGATATACACACAGCTGCCCTCTCTGTGTATTCCTCACCCGGGTGTGATTTACACTACGTAGTAGATTTTGTGTATATCACACCGGGGTGGGTGTGATTTACACAAATGGCCGGTATTGTGTAAATCTCACCGTGGTGTGATATACACGGTCCCTTTACGTCTGGACAACGAGTTGCGGGGAAAAGTGCTGATTTTGTTGCAGTTTTAGGAGCCGGTGATTAGGCTGGATTTTTGGGTTACTTTTTCGTTCCGATTCATGTATTTCATAGTGTTTGGCTTTTGAATATTTTAGTTCTTTCAGATAAATATTACTTGCCTTACAACTTTTGTAAAAACGTTTCATTTTTTATAAGCCGACGTTCAGAGTCCTAAAAATACATCAGCACTACAATAATTGTAAACAAACAAATGGAGCACCACTTGGATCTGTTCCAAGGCCATTTTTTAGTTTATCTGGTGGTTTTCTTACTCTTGTACGTCGTTTTGTTGGATGTTTTGAATATTGACTTATATCATATTTAAGAAGCATGTTGACTGAAAACAATCCGAAGTATCCAGGAGGCTGACAGAGGTCCTGACTCCTGAGCAATATCAATATCAAGTTGAACAAGTTATGAAATTTTGGTTGATAAACGCAAGGTGATCGGGCTCATATATCAGCAAGAAAAAGTTAAATTAAAAGAGCTTATTGGGCAAAAACAAGCTATAATATTGCAGACCTTGGAGCAATACCTACTGAAGAGCACGCTGAGCAGGATCATGCCAGAAAATGTTGACTGGTGAGCGCATATTGATGTATTGGTATGGATATTGAATGATAACTTACAACAGCAAGATAAATTAGTGCTTACTTTCAAGTTAAAAATCTAGAATGAATGGACTTGGGCAGCTTAGATGCTTCATGCTATGCAGATTGTAATGTGCATCAGATACTCAGTGTCTGGCAAATGAAACATGCGATCATTCGATTGCTACTGGAGGAGAAAGCTTGGATCACTAAATCCACTTTATGTTGATTTTGATGTTAATCATCACTGTATTTCTTGAAAAAAGGATTATAGTAGAATTGTCAATGTGACAATCCAATCCATGCAACGATGTGATCATATAATGTGTTCATAGTCATTCGTGATAGTGATTATTGGTCCAATATACAATGGCAAAGCTCTCAGTCTCAGCGTTTCTTCCTGTGGATGGCCAGCAGTGACTCAGAGCTTTGAAGTATTAGTTTTCCTCACAGGGCTGGGATAAAAAGTACTGAGGGTAATCTTCCACCAAGGAACTCTACTTTGACATGGTATGAGATGTATGCACAAGTAGGTAGGTGCTTAGTTCCTATAGTCAGTAGTTGTGTATGTTAAGTCGGGTTAGCTTAGATTAGATTGTTAGTTTTTTAATTTGCCAAGTGTCCATAAAAATGTGACCTGAGCAATAAGCATACTCCTGACTAGCCTGACAGCTGACCTAGCCTCAATCATCACACATATTTGCAGCCTACCCAAGACCTGCATAGCAGTAGCATCTAGTTATAGGTAGGTACTCACCCTAACTCAATCTTACCTGCTAACCTTCAACTTGCCAAAAGTTAGCTCACATTGCCAAGCTGCATCCAGGGAAACAGTCAACTGAGGAACTGGCTCATTGGGTGGCTGGTGTGAGTCTGTGCATTTAAAGTGTTTCTTCTCTGAAGCTGCTCTGCACTGCTGTATGTCATGTTAGATGCTCAGAAATGTGGGAAATGATTACTTAGCTACTTTAGTGCTTTGTTAATGCTCGAGACATGAACAAGTACAGATCCTGCAGGGTACAGCTATGAGTTAGGTGCTAGGTGAGTATGTTATGTGAATGTGCTGTTCCCTGTTTGACCATAGTAAGTATACAAACAAGCACAGGGTCACAGTTATATTCAATCTCCACATAAACATACAACAAAAACAGCCATATGGCCTAACTCCGAACACACCACAGATAACTTAAGCCTTTGCAGGCACAAAAATGTTTTGATTAACAGGACAGGTATATAATATATCCTCTGTCCTTGGGGGATCTTGCTGCCAAGTTGAGGTACGATGACTTAACTTCAGAATTGATCAACCTTTTCTTAGCCACTGCTTATATACGAGAAAGACCAAATGCTTGTTTCTTTGATTTACAGGACATGTATACAATATATCCTCTGTCCTTGGGGGATCTTGCTGCCAAGTTGAGGTACGATGACTGAACTTCAGGATTGATCAACCTTTTCTTAGCCACTGCTTATATACGAGAAAGACCAAATGCTTGTTTGTAAACTGCGTTGAAAATTTAATGATCCACCATCAATTCTGACATGAAGGCACAAATGAAATAGTTCCCTCTCCTTTTGGAATACACAAAGCAAAATATTTAATAAATTTTAGTGGATGGACAAGAGCAATTAGCATAGCTTCCCCTCAAGTTAACTTCTGGCACTAATGAATTACACTGACACTTATTCGCTTCATATTTTGTAGCAAACGCGCTAAAACTGCAATATAACAGCACTATATGCTTCTTGACAAAATGCAATACAAGTAAAAATTTAGCCCTGATGGCATTCATTCTTGGTGGAAACGTAATTACAAAATATTTTGTAGTAACTATTAAATTCCGGCTGAAAACAGTCCACGGTTTAAAAAAGAATCATTCCAATGACGGTCCATTCTTGCGGTCCTGAAATCGCCACTATTTCCGGCCTCTCCAACGCAACTCGTTGTCCAGACGTAAATATGCTGCATTCGACGATTGTTAAGAAAAAATGTATGAAATGTTAAGAAAATATATGAAAATGTAAACCCACGTGGAAAGAAATTCATCCGCATCCTCCGGATCTCCGGATATTCATCCGGCAAAATCCTTGATTTTTAGTTACACACGTGGCAATGCTAATCGAAGCTCCTGTCCATTCCATGTCGTAGACTATATATTCCGTGACAATGCTGAGCGAATAGGAAAATATATAGATGGAGAATTGTGCCGCGTTACGGATGCTCGGGCGCAGCCAATCCAGCGTTACCCCAGCGGTGACCTTGACCCGCATCGTCTGTCTCGGCTCCAAAGCCAAACCGGCGTGGAATTGGGAGCGCTCGAGCACTCATGGTCCAGCGCAATTCTCCACCTGAATCCATTCCTGATACACATTTGCTTGCTCATAGTCATGTAACCCCGGTAAATTCATCTAACTTTCATATTGGTCGCTCCATAGACAGATGGCCACAGATATCAACTTAAAAGGCCATTGTTGCATTCATTTAGTGGAGATCATTAAAGAGCCGTGATAGGCCACAAGTCGCGTGACATCATACGTGTAACAACCAATGACGTCGGCCTGCAAAACCCAATGGAAGCGGCTAGCAGCGTGCAATAAAACAGGGCGCTGCTTTCTAAATGTCTGTCGTGCGCCATAAATGAATATATCTTTTGTAGTGTGGCAACTCAGTATCTTTTTTTAACTATTGTACTAGTATTTAATAATTTCATAATTTTATAATTGTGCTTACGCTTTATGTTGATGTTAGTGATAAATCCTTAGATAAAGTAAATCGATGTGATATTTAATAGAAAAATAGCAAACTAACGCGCCATTCATTCGAAAGCTGGTAAACCTACTAAAAAGAACTACTAAAATTCCTGAGGAACCAAAGGATTATATTGGTATCAAATAGATGCCTGCTATTCCGTCGTGAAAACGGCCAATATGAACAAAATAGGTATCATTTAATCCCAAACTGATCGAAGAATACGATTCCGATGCTAGTTTTGCCCTAAGGTCAAAATTGAGGTCGTCAGTTGTCACCAAACACAAGACAATTTAGACTCTCTATAGGCCACCATATTTACCGATTTTAATTATGAACTTTAGTGGTAATTTATTAGTTGACCAATCGTCGTTTTGAACGAAATTTCCTGTCAGACTATAGTTCAGGGCACTGTTGTTCACTGTGCCAACATCATTCTGACATATTGCATCGCTTTTCTGCAAGATAAGCTAGCTGTTTGCAAGCAGCTGCAAGACGTAATTTAAAATCATATCCAATTTTTTAATTAGACTTTTATAAAAACGTTATTTCGAGCGGCTAAAAATGAACATTTTATACTAGCCTCTGATTACTCATCTTTTGTTCCATATAGGTGCTTTGCTGCTTTTCCCTGCTACTTTTCGAGATATGCGCCAGTAAACCACATGATGTAGGGGCAATTGTCACCTCGCCGCTCTACTGAAGGCCCGGCGCTCTTTAAAACGCTGAAAGTTGTGAAAAACAAACGCTTATTATAATCTAAATAAGATATATGTCCCTGAGCTCAGAATTGATCAACGCACACAATGCTATCAACATTTCTGGGCCAAACTAAAAAATTCAGTCATCATTAACCCCTAAACACAAGTCAGTGATAATCAACAACAACTTGCTCTTTAGTTAGACTTTTTGAGAAATGTTATTTCGAGCCGCTAAAAATGGCCATGCCATACAAACCACCAATCATCTTTCTGTCATGCCCTACTCGCAATTTTTGCTAATGCCTACTACTCTTCGAGGTCACGTGACCTCACCATTAAAAGTGAATGGGGAAATAAGAAAACTGTTGTTTTTGCGCATGGAACGATTTCAAACTATCTCAAGCACACGGAATCGTGATTTCGTGCACTCTTTGCAAGATCCGATGCTTTACTTTTGCATTTTTGACCTTCCGTGACGTCATTGATGACGTCACACCGGTCACAGGAGTTTCTCGTCAATAACTCATGATCAAATTGAGCCAGAGACTCAGGAAAGCCACCAATGGACTCGGGAAGACCTCCCGAATCGAATGATATGCGATACGACCTCCTTCGATTAAGTTCGTG